TTTTTTTTTTTTTTTTTTTTTTTTTGGATCTCTCGCTTCCTGGAATCCGGCACTGGTTGCTAGGCAGCCGCTGGCGGACGCATCAGGAAGCGGTTCAAATCTGCGCCGCTGCTGTTCAGGCAGTTTCTTTGGCACGGCTCAACCATGAAGTGGATGCGGTGGGACACAAAGCTAAAACTCCCTGAGAGAGAGGGGTGGGGGTTCAAACCCAGAGTTGGGACCACCACAGCAGAAGTGGTGTATTTTTAAAATAAATGTGCAAAAATGTTTTTTTTTTTAATATAATCACTGTTCACCAAACTTTCCATTTTCACTCCTCAAGGCTTTGTCAGTCCATTCATTTTCACATGACACTGCATCGTCTTCCATGTGATAAATAACCCCGCTGGCCCACGCCTCTTTGGTTTGCCACTCGACTGTAAATCATTCGTGACGAAGCGCCACAGCGATAAACCAGATGCCGTCACAGATCGGTGGGATCGACACAAAATATTCTGCTTTTCTGGTTTGGAAATGAGGTGGTTATTAACCGGTCAGACCGTCAAGGCCCTCACTCGGAAAAGTCGCTCATTCTTTTCACTTCTACTCCCTGCTGAGGTCAGAGTCTGGTCAAATATCAACGAGCAGCACCAACGAATGACGTTACAAAACAACCAGGAAGCAGTAAGAAAGGAAAGAAAGGAAAAAAAAGAGTCAAAGCAGGAAGAAATGAAGGATGACAGAAGGACAATCAGGTGACTGCTGCCAGACGGTGACCTTTAAAGTGTTTGAACATTTTTTCCCCCTGACAGAGCTGCAAATGTGCTCTTCCTCGTGTGCCACTTTGAATATTTGAACAAAAGCAACCTCCAAACTCAGAAAGAAAACAAGGCTTTCTGCGTTCAATCTTAAAAAAAAAAAAAACACAAAATCCGATCACCTTARTTGAGTCTTTCGGCATAAAGGTTGTCGGACCGAATCCCAGCCAGGGACCTCTCTGGGTAGAGTTTGCATGTTCTCTCTGTGCATGCGTGGGATTCCTCCGGGCTCTCCGGTTTCCTCCCACAGACCAAAAACATGACCGTTGGGCTAACTGGTAACTCTAAATTGTCCCTAGGTGAGAGCATGAATGCTCCATCGTCTGATGGACTTGCGACCTGTCCAGGGTGTACCCCGCCCCTCGCACTGTGACTGCTGGACATGAGCACCAGTGAAGCAGGTAAAAAAGATAATGGATGGATAAAGGAAGTACAGCTTCAGCAGTTGTGTTGTTTTCAGAATACATTGCACCGGTTTGTTTAGAGGAGGAGCGGCATGGCTTTTCCAATCTCCGCTCCAGGTCAGTTCTTAACTTTATTTTCCCGCACCTAAATTTCGTAAACTTCCAAAAGCTTTGTAATAAGTGGTGGTGGTTGGGGGGGATGGATGGCATTGTTATATTAGTTTAAAATGGTCTCCAAACGATATTATCGTTTATCGCAATAAATTTTGAGACAATTAATCGCCCAGCAAAATTTGTTATCGTGACAGGCCTATTTACAGCCACATATTCAGTGCACTGCAAACCAATAAAGCTATAAAAAGTAACATTTTGTCACTAATTCTCTGCACTTTTGAGAAATATTCTCCACAATCTAATTCATAATTCTCATCTCAAGTTGACCTAGACTAGATGAGCGTAACAAAGACCAAAACAGTGTGAAATGCTAAAATCCAAAAGGAAAAGTGAGAAAATACTAAAAAGGTACAGGATTAGATCCATGTCCTGACACAGTTAGCATTTTGTTTTGGCACAGTTGTTTTCTTTCATTTGGTGACACAATATGTGAACAGAACATAAAAAAACAACAAAGAAGACCACACAGAGGTAGACAGGTACACTGGAGACCAACTGAGGCAGAATCCAAACAAGAAACAAGAGTTTTAGAAAGTTCCGTCAGGTTCAGTCTCCGTGCTTGTGTGTGTTTTTGTCTTTGAAACCACGTGTTACCCTCACGGTCCGGCACACACCCAGTTTTCAAACCTTCTAGCGAAAATTTGAGATCCACGTTCATCTCGAGTGTCACGCGTCCTTTCATATACGTTACCCCCCCCCCCGAGGACTCAAGTTTCACTGGAAAATTTTCAACAAGGTTTGAGTCTCAGCTGGTGAAAGATAAACAAGAATCAAACACTACCCAACATCTTTGTTTTTGTTCTTTTTTTTAGCACAAACAATATGTACTCTAATGTCTCATTTTGGCGCCTTTTGTAACTTTGATTTATTGGAGACTCTTAAAGCCTCCTGCCTCAGCATTTCTCCAGTGACGCAGACACAATCTAAAACCCCAACGAAACAACATTCTGTTATTAAATCTAAAACACAGGAGCAAAATAAAAAAGTCTATGGCAAAGTGTTGGCTAGTAGGAGAGTGTGCTTTACCTGACGGGTGAAATTTAGACACTTCATAAAATCCTTCTTAAGCAACGAGCGTCGCTCAAGACAGCTGTAGCCTCACAGATGAATTCAATAAGTTAGAGTTGTTTCTTTTTTTTCCACGTTTCAACGTCCAGCTTCCCCATAAAGCGGTCCGTTTCCTACAGCAGTCTCATGCAGTATAAATAAATGACATCTGACGATGTGCGTCGACGAAAGGCCTCGCTCTGCGTTAGTTTCCTGACTTGTTTTTTTTTTAAATGTTCACCAAGTTCGCCAGCGTTCGTTTTAATAGTCTTCTCGTGTCTCGGGCCGGACTGTCCATCCCTGAGGAGGCGTGGGCGTCGTCTTGTTGAGCCGAGTAAGCATGGCCTGAGGGTTAGAGGAGGTCAGATCCAGCGTCCGGAGCCTCGGGTGTACTGCTGCTTCTTCCTCCTCTTACACACGTAGTAGATGGGAAAAGCAAACAAACCTATGGAAAAATGGAAAAGAATTACACAAATTATTACTGGTATCATTAGAAAGAAATTTGTCTTTTTAGGGGTAGACTAGTTTGCCAACATTGGACATTTTTATCTAAGCCACATTGACCAAACCTGAGCAAATCTAACGGTTCAGAAATTGAGCGTCCTTTATAGCTGGGATTCTGGATAAAACAGTCAAAAATGCATCACCTGCCCTGACCTCTAAATTAATTCAACTCTTAGGATTCATTGAAGACCTGCTGCCTTTAATGCAACAGTTTTAAACAAAGACCATCTCATGTTGAGAAATGATCTGAGAGCTATGTGTGATTTCACACAACATTGCACTCGATGAATGTGCCTCTCGGCTACTACAACATTAAATTTTAACTCAGTATCTGTAAAATTGACGAGTTCCAATTATTTTCAAACAGAGCTCTCTGAGTTTTGGTATGTGGGGGAGAAGTTTGTCCTATTTGGGTGGCTGTAGTGTAGTGGTAGAGCAGCCGGCTTTGGGACCCGCAAGTCACAGGTTCGACTCCCCGCCATGCCTACATGCCGTTGTGTCCTTGGGCAAGACACTTCACCCACCTTGCCTACTGATGGTGGTCAGAGGGGCCGGTGGCGCAGCATGGCAGCCCCGCCTCTGTCAGTCTGCCCCAGGGCAGCTGTGGCTACAATGTACTGTAGCTTACTGCCATCAGTG